GATGAGTTTTTTGTAGGCGAGTAAGAATGATGCTTTGAGATTATGCAAGTATAAAATGCGGCTCGGTCACATTGTTTTCGTGATCTGATTGACAGCAAGTTCCCACTAAAATAAAACGCCATGTTTCTATTCAATGCAAACATCAGTACCAATGTAGCTATCTTTTTTTTGCAGCTATGTGTTTCGCAATACCTAGCGCTCTTTATAAGGTGCACCCCGTGCTTGATGCCCGAACGCAGTCATCCTTGCAACTTTTTCTTCTTTCTACTTTTTTTTCATAGGCATTCATTCTATTTTTATACAATTGCTGCACATTGTACCCCTCTATCTCCATCAATTAAAGTAGATGGTAAAGATGTCTTGGACAGGAAACAGTTGTTAGGTAAAGTTTTGTTCAACTGATGTGAACAAAAAAACTTACAAGTCCACAGAGTAAATGATGATTACTGGGGCGAACGAAGCATCCGTTCATCCATCCATCCTTCTGTTCGTCCGTCTGTCTGTCCGTGCATCCATACGGCGTTCATCCTTCCATGCGTTCATTCCGTCTAATTGTGCTTCTGTAAGTCCTGTCCGTCTGCGCGTCCATGCGCCCATTCATGCTGTCTGTCGGTCCATGCGTCTGTCTGTCCAGCTGTCTGTGTGTCCCTGCTCCAGCTTTCCGTCCATCAAGTGGAATATGCTCCAAGTACCGCCATACCCACATCATTTCATCATTTAGTTTGTCATGTACAAGTATAGCTATCCAGCGGATATTCAAGGAATAAACAAAAAGGTACGACTACGACACGGGACACTCGACCCATGGCGTAAGGAGCTTCTTCCCTACAAGAAGCTCTGTTTGCACCTGCAGCTCCATTTAATGGTAGTCCTTATTGGTGCGCCAGCGGACGCCGGCTGTGGCCCAAAGAACAAGTCAGAGCCGAGAGTTGATAAACAAACAAATTATATTCTCAATAATGGCAGATCGAAAATAATACACAAAAATGCACACTCCACACTAGTTGCATACAATATGCCACCAATCAAACCAATCAATCTACGTGCTGCACAATACAATCAGCCACACTTAAAACAACGGACACGGACAACAATACGCACTACAATGCAGTCGCATGCATTTAACATCCAAGACACTTAAAGACTAAAGAGATAGAAAACCTATTCAGTCCAAAGTCATTGGAACAAAAGTCTGAATGATACTCTTCCGAGAATCACTCACTCAAAGTCCAGCGTTGTTGCCCGCGTCTTCGCTCGATAGCGGTAAACCCACGCTCTTGCCTGTAGCTCGAGCCGTCCCTACGGACCAAAACTTCGCCGACTACACGGCGGAATCTCTACGCACTCTGGCGCTCACTTCCGTCTCCTGGAGTGCTAAAGCGAAAACGTCTCTGATCTTGACACTGTGAGGGCCCGTGGAACCACAACACAACAAGAAATTTGATAGCATGTGGTACACGCTGGGCCTCTCGAACTAAGACTATGCCCTGAAACGTTCACACTGTCTTGCTGCCAAGGAAATGCCAGCTGGTTGAACTCCCAAAATAACACCTAATACCACAAACAGAGCTAAGCAAAAGCTACACGATACAACAGTGATGGCACACGCACAGCGCCTTCACTTTGTCTAGGTAAGCTAAACCCTTCCTGCACGCACAGTGGTCCGTCTGACGGTCCCGGCCGCACGTCGGCTGCGTTTTTGAAGTTCGTGAGTAGGACACGCGCATCACTGGTTCGCAGCACGTGTCACGCAAGGCGCACGGCAGTCGTGGTTCCCACACACTCTCCTCTTGAAAGAAGGGGCTTCACTCACATGGTTACCGTCATCACCTCCCATGATGACGTTCTTCACTTCGGGTGCCACCGATGCAGTCTTTGCATCTGACGTCGGCCTTACAAGCGATGCCCAACATGCCCGTGATATTCTCACTGTCACCGGGCTCGAATTCTTGATGTAACCTTTGTTCTTCGAAGCAGCGGTGGTTTCCTTAGCTTTTATCATGGCAAATGAAGTTCCGTCCTGTAATTTGCGCAGGACGCCACAGAGCTTATGTCTACACAACAGCGCCTCGCTGTCGGCCATTCACGAGTTGTTGGACAGGCCGTTCCGCAGGGGCATGTGGGTAAGCTCACTGTCCGCGGTTTCAGTTGTCATCATCACCGTGACCTTGCCATTAAGCTTTGAATTAGGAGTAGTGGTCTTATTGGACTGATCTCTGCCGCTTGCAGGGGCGCCTTTTGTGGCCTCCGCCACAACTGCTGCTGCAACTTTACCCACGGTATGCGTCTTTGCAACGGCATCCGTACTAGGTGTAGGCGTGCGAGTAGTACTGGCTTTCGCAGCAGCGGCTTGGTCCTCATCGCTGATGTCCTCATTCAAGTCCTGGTTTAACAATAGCGTACACAAGCAAGATTGTCTCAGCCCCGCAATTTTCGTCTTCGGCCCCAGAAGTCGTCAAAATTTCTATGACGTTTACTTCGTCGTCTTCGTTATCACCGCCAGCTTCATCGCTGTGCCCACTAGGGTCGACTTCACCCTGGTTCCGCTTCTCGCTTGGTCGGCCTGTTCCAGCTTGCCTTCGCCGAGCACTTTCTGCTCTTGGTCCTGTGCCGGCATGCCCGTTTGCTCAGGCAGAAGTGTCACCCATCGTCCCCCAGCCACGGTCGGGACCATAATTTCTTTCGCTTCGATGTATACACCGTAGTCATTTCGTCCATCCGTTAAAAAGCCTCCCGAAACCCTTGCATTCTTGCTTCCATATCACTGGTAGGAGACACGCAACACGCTCATTGGCCGCCAGATGAAGGGTTCATGCCTTCTTGCTGCCAAATAAATGATGCGGGTCAGTTGAACTCCAAAAATAAACATTTATTAATAACACTAACAGAATTACGCAAAGGTTACACGATACAGCAGTGCGGGTACACACACTGCCCCTAACCTTCACCCCACTGGAGCGCACCCTTACTGCGCGCACAGCAGTCTGTTGCCACCTCTACTGGCCGTGCCTCGGCTGCCGCTTTTAGTGTCCGCGAGTATGACACACGCATAACTGGTGCGCAGCACTTGTCAAACAAGTCGCACGATCGGCGTGATTGATACAGTCCCCAGCATGAAAATAGTCGAATCAGCAGTGTTCCTCCAGTAGATTTTAAACGACCTTGCTGTGTAGAACTGTTAGAAGTCTTTGCTTAAGCGCTTGCTGAAAAATTTACAACGTTGACCATAGGCTTCATATGCGTCCACATCAGGCAAACTAAATTTGACAAATAACTCCTGGGGCATGCAGAACAAGCTTGCATTGGTTATATCGTGGCAAGGGTGGTAAGTTGAGAAATAGCGCACTGTCAGAGAAGTGTACCTACTTGTGCACGGGAATCGCTTCAGCCGAGCTCTAGTTCATAGCATTTGACTGACATGTGGGGTTAAAGTCCCAAAACCACCATATGATTATGAAAGACGCCGTAGTGGAGGGCTCGAGAAATTTCGACCACCTGGGGTTCTTTAACGTGCACACAAATCTGAGCACACCTCTAGTTTAAAGCAAACGTATTGAAAGTCTCTCCTGAGCAGGATACAACAGCATGTGCCGTGGTGGACTGTTCAGTGGAGGGCCACGAGTATAAGAAAGGTTCGGTTTGAACATCGCTATCACTGTCGCTTTGTGAACCGACCGATGAGAGATCCCAAACAGTGGATTAAAATTGTATGGTGACCGATGGCGATAAAATGATTCGACATGATGGCTGCGGAGTGGTGTCTACCACGGAGATCTTGTTGCAATTCAAAACAGGGTCACATGGTGCCGGATTCAGATTTTATGTAAAGCATATTTTCAGTGCCGGGTGGATTGAGTGCCTCGTGAGTTGAAAAATTCTTGTAAGCAGAAGACAAATATTTGTATGCGTATCTCTCTCAAGGTCTCAGTCAATTCAAAGCAGCTGTCGCATTACCACTGATGCCACTAGTGTGCGAGTGTGTCTTCAGGGGTGCTCAATGTAGCAGGGCGACCCCAGCAGAACTGGGCGAGAGTTGCCTCTGGGCCACAACATACTCATCACGAGTAAAACCAAATGGAGTTGAATAGCACAGCACTGAATGCGTCCAAGATCTGAGAAGTGACCACGGCAGGTAGTATTTCGAATAGAAGTCGTATGTGTCAATATGGGATACGCAGATCTCACCAAGTCGTAACACTGCAATGTGAGTGGCGAGGAGTAGTCTTGCTGTACCAGTTTAGAGATCTAGAACTGTACGAAACGGGAGCAAATCCTCATGTGGAAAAGGCACTTGCACTGGCGTGCAGGTTCACAAAGCTGGGGCATGTTTCACTGGTGCACCTCTATTAAGATATATGGGACCACGTCCCAAGAGAAAGTGGATATGCTTTTGAGTACCGAGGGTGCGCATTGTATTCGGCGATTGTATATCAAGCCTTTCCACTGGTGTAGTTCGTAAACTACTACGCGCGTGGTGTCCGACCAGAGTGCAACCTAACGCCTGGAGGCATGGTGACGCTGACATGGAAAACAGTACGAAGACCAAGACAGTACAGGCGCACATACAATCGCACGTTGCACAGTTGAATCAACTAGCCGACATGTTAAACATAAGCACTTCAGTATTGCTTCGCTATACAATTATAGCTACGTGTACCTTGTTCGGCTGGCGTCACTCAGTTATCGCGTGGAGCAGTTCCAGTCTCTCCACTTTTAGGGCTTCAAGTGAAAGTGCTTCATGAACGTTTGTAGGACGACCGAGCTACGCAAAGGTCTGACTTGAGACTTCACAAATGCTTATAGTTTAAATGACCTCCTTAAGGCTGTGGCGTCAGCTTGAGAGGCACTATGGTTTTTATAGGGCATGACTTATAAGTGCGGGACCACCGAGATTCACGATAGAACTCGCCATCTTGTTTTCATAATAACATTGCTTTAAAACACGGTGTCAATGGGTTGGTATAGTGATTATCCTATCTATTTCAGGGACGACCACTTACCATTGACGAGCGTATTAATGTGTGTGTCATTGACTGCCATTGCCAGGTTGCCACTAGAAAAACAAAGCAAATTTTTAGCCTCACACAACAGTGCAATATCGTCAACTAAACACAAGCAAAAAAAAAACATTCTCTCAAATTACCTATATTGTCGAGTACTTTAAGTGATGCAAACCTGTGTTTGGCTAGTATCTGGAACTTTACGCTGTGAAGTACAGAAATACTAGCTAAAAAATTGGACCGAATCTACATGTTACACTGTAAATGTCGTCGAAAGACGGTAGTCTTGCGTCTGGAGAGAATGAACAAAACGTTTATTTGATGTTCTGCGCAAGCAAATCGGTGAATGGTATTATAGAGGCGCTCCGTTACAATGCCTCGAGCGTGTGGCGGAGGCGAACGAGCGCATCGAGGCACGTTAGACACAAGTGCCATCGGGCAGTTATCTTCGAAAACGAAGCGTGCAGCCCGCGGAGAAAGATGCGTGCCAGTCTCGGAGGTGATAAGGTGTAGAACGCAAAGCGACGGGTGGGTGCCACCACCGTGACGTCGAAGCAAAGCGTTGGAAACGCCTTTTTGAGCATCCCGTTGCACTCTCAGCGCAGCACGATTAAACACTGCATCCCTTGGAGTTACTTCTGTGTACTTATTCTTGTATAAAGGCAGACCTAGAAAACATCGAAGCGGTGTTGTGGCTCTTCAGATATGCGCAATAATTGCTTTTTAATTGACAATCGCACAACTATGACCGCTAAACCTTGAGCAATATTGGTGGGCGCTGCGGATAGGGTTGGCCGTTTGGTGCCATTTGAAGTAGCGTGAGGGCGGACAAACAGACAATTGTACAGACAGACAAACAGACCAACATTTTTGCGTGGAAGGTGCCCAAGAAAGACTATCGTCTTTAAAAGTCGTGATGGAGTGACGAGCAAGCGAAGCAAACGCATAACGTCGCTCGCTCAGAGCTAGGGCAAAGTGTGTTTCGAAGGAGGGAGGGGGGAGGGTTGGCCCGGCAGAGGTGGGACTGCGAACGCCGTCAGTGCCGTCTACGCGTCCTTCTTCCTTCCGTTTTTGTTTAAACCCTTCGCACAAAAGAAGGAGCTGCCACGAACTAAACCACCATGTTTTATAATAATAATAATAATAATAATAATAATAATAATAATAATAATATATAATAATAATAATAATAATAGTAATATAATATAATAATAATAATAATGGTCGGATTTCCCGGAACCCTCTACTACACCGTCTGTGATATTATTATGGTGGTTTTGGGACGCTAAACTCAATAAGTATTTATAATTATTAGACCACAAAAAGGTTCACACGGCTGAAGAGAGAGGCCGCTCACCAGAATTGCGGTGCGCTGCCAAGCGAGACTGCTGTGCTCTACTCGGTAAATGTAGCAAGTGACGTATTACAGCGGTAACAGCTAGACACGACTATGCTGTACTTGAATAGAACTTGACATCACTTGGCGATACTTTATACAAAGTATCATAATTTTGCATCGCGTCGTATAACTTGGCATCACTTCGTACGACCATACCCACCTATGAACAAATCAGCTCAGTTCTACCTTCAACGTTTCAGCATTTTCTAAGCAGCAAGAAATGCTGAAATATTTTAAAAAGCGCTCAGCAGACACTTATAATCCTGTGCAGAACAATGCACGTACCTGAGTAGCTGCGAAGTAAGGTCACAATGTGTAAACTGGCATGAGTTCATCAGGTTAACGGTAGCGTCTCGGGCACTTAATATGTCGGTTGCGCAGATACACTCAGAGCTGAGTATGTCGACTGTCAGCCCACAAATTGTTCTGCCAGCGATATCTCGATCCTGAAAGAACAAAGCATGAGAAACTAAATATGTGAACAAAAAAAAATTGCCCGCAGCTTCCCTCGGGGGAACACTGAGGAGGATGTGGAGCATATAATTGGTTAACGGGGTGTTAAAGTGCGACTTACTTGGGTCGATGGCTAAATTGGTTAACGTGGTTGTGAAATGGGGTGTTAAATTGCGACTTACTTGGGTCGCTGGCTAAATTGGTTAACGTGGTTGTAGGAGGGGTGTTAAATGAGTGAACACGTATGACACGTATGCGAAAGGGCGGTGTTTATTTATTGCGACGAACTTTGAGCACGATGGCTTTTTGGTCGGTAAAGTGAAGAGTGAGTGGATCGGGTTGCAGCGGTCGTAGGTCGAAATTTGCAAAGACGTGGTCGATGCAGGTTCCGCGAATGGTGGTCGGCTGGTGGTGTTTGCAGTCGTCGTGCGTTGCGCGTTTTCAGCGAGTGTCGCGACGCCATGTATTCGACTATCCACCCGCTCCATCGCAGTGAGTTCGCTTACGACGCGCGAACGCCCTTCGGGACCCACACGCAGACGCTCGAGCGTTTCGAGCAATCGATCCCAGTGCAGTTCGGAAGCGGACAGCGTGAGGAAGACGTGGGGCCTGCCTAGTTGGCGAATCATTGCAAAGAGTTCTTTGCGCCGCTCTTGCCAGTACTGAATCGTGTTTGGTATTCCGCGCATGAAGCCGAGATCCCGGTTGAGCACGTCGTCGAGAAACTCGCGTCCGCCGCTCTCGAGTTGTTGGCGGGTGAACGAGTCGGTGGTCGCGTTCGTTGGGAACGTCATGGTCTTTTCGGCCACGTTGAAGCGCATAACCTTGGCGGCCATGTACAGAGGAGAAGCGCACGCGGTGTGTAGAGGAGGAAGGGTGCACAGATGGTGGGGGAGTGAAGCGCGCGCGGTGTGTAGAGGAGGAAGGGATGTACAGATGGTGGAAGAAGGAGGAGGAAGCTTGCGGACGGCGCCGCACTACAAGCCTCGAGTATTAGATGCTCCGCATCTAAAAACTTCCTTTATAGCGGTAAGCGCTAGAGGTACGTTATGTTAGCGTGAGAGCATTGAAGAGCTCATTTCACAGAATGCCGGCCTGGGCGTCATTGGTTGTGAGTGAAGAATGACCTCGTTCGTCAATGAAAAATTGTGTCATGCGAATCAAATAAATAATTGAATTCCAGTAAAGATCAAACCCTAGCCATCTGCGCGGCAAGAAGTTGTACCATATAGCCACAATAAAAGAACGATACGTGAATATCATGTTGTGAAAGGAATGTCCTTATCGCAGCATATGTCAGGCTTCGAAAAGAAGTGAATTGAGCAACGAGTGAGTGTTTTGATACCAACCCAGCACAAATAAGCGCTCCAAAGTATTTAATAGTTACCAGCAAGAGACGCATCAACAAGGGTTACAGTTGCGTAGATTCTCGCGTTGCCCTACGGACGTGTAGTGGGTTGTTCACTGACTCACTAAAGCAATAAATATGGCATAATGCCCGCTTAAATGTGCTTGCAATAGCCATTCAAAGAAACGTTGAAACGGCCAATTTTACACGCACAGTCGTTGATTTTATAACGCCACGGTAGAGACAAGCATGCATAAGTGGATCAGGCTAGCTGTTGAGCGGAAGATGTGCTCGAGTCCCAATAGCGCTTCTATAATCTGTTGCCCAGCCGCAGTGGTCTAGTGGATAAGGTACTCGGAATGCTGACCTGCAGGTCGCGGGAACAAATCGCGGCTGCGGTGGCTGCATTTTCGATGGAGGGGAAAATGCTGTAGGCCCGAATGTAAACATTCGACAGAAGTCTGTCTGGTTGGGTATGAAACTGGGAGATGATTTAGACTCCAACCAATTATCCGATTGGCAAGGTACGATGCAGTGACCATAGAATGGGGTGGTCTCGAATTCACCTAGACTTGAAGAAGGAACGACAGAAACTGATACGCAAGAAGCCAATCAATGAACTAGCACTGAGATTGAAAGTACAGGAATTCAGAGTGTCGCTTCAGAACAGGTACTCGGCTCTTAGTGAGGAAACCAACCTTAGCGTAGATACAATGAATGATAATCTGCCGAGTATCATTACGGAGTGTGCAGTGGAAGTTGGAGGCAGGGTAGTTAGACAACACTGGCAAGCGTTCCCAGGAAACGAAGAATCTAATTGAGAAGCGTCAAATCATGAAAGTCTCAAGTACAACAGACAAAATAGAACTGGCAGAGCTTTCGAAGTTGATTAATAGGCGTAAGGTGTGCGATGTAAGAAGGTATAACATGGAGAAAATCGAACACGCTCTGAAAAACAGAGAAGCGTCAAAGCAGTGAAGAGGAAACTTGGGATAGCAAAAGTCGGATATATGCACTAAGGGACAAAGAAGGCAAAATAAATACCGATATGAATAGAATAGTTAAAACAGTGGAGGAGTTTTACAGAGATCTACAGTACAGTAGCCAAGACAACCACGACCTTAATACTATAAGAACTAGCAGTAATCCAGATGACACCCCACCAGCAACAATAGAAGTCAGAAAAGCTTTGCAGAGCATGCGAAGAGGCAAAGCTGCTGGTGAGGATCAGGTAACATCAGATCTGCTGAAAGATGGAGGACAGATTGTGTTAGAAAAAACTAGCCACCCTGTTTACGAGGTATCTCCTGACGGGAAGAGTACCAGAGTGTTGGAAGAACGCTAACATCATCTTAACACATAAGAAAGAAGATGACAAGGACTTGAAGAATTACAGGCCAATCAGCTTGCTCTCTGTAGTATACAAGCTATTTACAAAGTAATTGCTAACAGAGTAAAGAAAACATTAGAATTCAATCAACCAAAAGAACAAGCAGGATTTCGAACAGGCTACTCAACAATTGACCACATTCATACTATCAATCAGGTAATAGAAAAATGCTCAGAATATAACCAACCACTATACATAGCCTTCATAGATTAGGAGAAGGCGTTTGATTCAGTAGAAAAAATCAGCCGTCATGCAGACACAGCGAAATCATGGCGTAGATGGAGTATATATCAACATTCTGAAAGAAATCTACAAAGGATCAAGTGCTACCCTAGTGCTTCATAAAGAAAGCAACAGAATGCCAATCAAGAAGGGTGTAAGGCAGGGGGACACAATCTCCCCAATGCTATTTACCGCGTGCTTACAGGAGGTTTTTCAGAAGCCTAAAATGGGAACAGTGAGAGATAAGAGTTAAGGAAGAGTATTTTAGTAACCTGTGCTTCGCCGATGACATTGCATTGCTGAGTAACTCAGGGGACGAATTGCAACTCATGATTAAGGAGTTAGACAAGGAGAGCAGAAAGGTGGGTCCTAAAATTAATCTGCAGAAAACGAAAGTAATGTACAACAACCTCGGAAAAAAGCAGCGCTTCGAGATTGGTAAAAGTGCACTTCAAGTTGTAAAAGGCTATGTCTACTTAGGGCAGGTAATAACCGCAGAGCCGAACCACGAGATTGAAGTAACTAGAAGAATAAGAATGGGGTGGAGCACATTCGGCAAGCACTCTCAAATTATGACAGGTAGATTGCCACTATCCCTCAAGAGGAACGTATATAACAGCTGTATGTTGCCGGTACTTAGCTATGGAGCAGAAACCTGGAGACTTACAAAGGGGGTCCAGCTTAAGTTGAGGACGACGCAGCGAGCAATGGAAAGAAAAATGGTAGGTGTGACATTAGGAGACAAGAAGAGAGCAGAGTGGATTAGGGAACAAACGGGGGTTAAGGATATCATAGCTGAAATTAAGAAGAGGAAATGGACTTGGGCCGGGCATGTAGAGCGTAGACAGGATAACCGCTGGTCATTAAGGGTAACTGACTTGATTCCCAGAGAAGGCAAGCGGGTTAGGGGAGACAGACGGTTAGGTGGGCAGAGATTAAGAAGTTTGCGGGTATATATTGGCAGAAGCAAGCACAGGACCGGGTGAACTGGCGGAAAATGGGAGAGGCATTTGTCCGGCAGTGGAAGTAGTCAGGCTGATGATGATGTTGATGATGATGATGATGAATTATCCAATTATCCACCCCACGAGTGCTTTGAAGACGCCACTGCATCGTAGCCCCACAGTAACCCCTGAGGAAGGAACCAAGTCAGTTTCGAAACGTCGAATTTCTTAAAAACTTTTGGTTGGAGCTTAAATCATCTCACTGCTGCAGGCCCGTGTGCTCAGATTTCGGTGCAAGAACCCCGGGCGGTCAAAATTTCTGCAGTCATTCACTACGGCATCTCTCATATTGATGTGGTGGTTTGGGCCATTAAACCCCACATATCAATCTGACTGACAGCCAGCTGGTAAAATTGTGAAAGCACTAAGTACAGCGCCGGCAGCTTCGTATAGCGGAGGCTTGACTTACACACAGATTCAGACCACGCAAAAGCAGCGATCAGATCACGTTCATTCAAAAGTAAAACAGTTTCTGTTGTTTGGGGTTGGCCCATCCCAGGGCTGCAGATGACTGTCTTGCTGCGAAGCAAAAGCTTTAAAAGTGTGCCTTGTGGTGCTCGTTGGTCCATAATCGTCAGAATAAGAGCGAAAACAAACATATGAAACAATCGGAGAAAAGAACAAGCCATTATTACGGTAGTTCAAAAACTGAGCAAGAAGCCATGATTGCAGGACAAGATGCGGCTTTAGGGGAAAACGGGGGCAACCCGCCGGTGTAGTCTGAAGAGTACATCTGTCTTGCAAGGTAACAACAATGGACCGACAGCTCCTAGAGTGTAGTGGAAGGCGCTCATTACATAGGCTTCAAGTATCCGGTCTGAAATTCTGGCGGTATATGGTGCTTTGAGACAACATAGCGAGTTGTGTAACACAGGATTGTCAGCTCGCTAGTTGGCTACCTGGACGAAATCATCCCTAGTTGCAGTGGGCGCCAAACACAAGACAACGAACAAGAGAAGGAAGATGATTGATTATCTTTTCCGAGACCATGTGTTTGCACTCAGTGCAATTATGACTGAGTGGAGGAATGAAAGCAGCAGTTGGTGTTCAAGATAGGCTTGTTTCGTGCCGTTGCGAAACCGAGCCTCTTGTGTACGTGAAGGTTAAACTTGAAGGCTTTCCCTGAACGCGAAGTCACACGAAAGTGCTTTTCGTTCATGGATTGATTTGTGCGGTTTAACGTCCCAAAACCACCATATGATTATGAGAGACGCCGTAGTGGAGGGCTCCGGAAATTTCGACCACCTGGAGTTCTTTAACGTGCACCCAAATCTGAGCACACGGGCCTACAACATTTCTGCCTCCATCAGAAATGCAGCCGCCGCAGCCGGGATTCGATCCCGCGACCTGTGGGTCAGCAGCCGAGTACCTCAGCCACTAGACCACCGCGGCAGGCGAAAGTGCTTTGCGTAGATAAAAGACACAGTATGATTTTAAAGTGGCGTGGGAAAAAGGAGAATGTAGCTGTGTCCCTTGTCAGAAAACTGAACACATGCTGTCTTCGGGCGACAAGTGGTAGTGTGGGTCGAACCTGGCCACGCCAAGAATCAATCGTGGATTTCGATCGCTGAATGATAGAGGATATGAGCTACTTTCTCTTCAAATTCATTGTTAATCGCTGTTGAGAACCACAGTAGTATTATTACCACCTTTTTCACCACTTGCTGTTGGGCCAGTCTGGCGGCCTGCGACGCCATTAGCTGTCGGTGGAGATGCTCGACCACACTGTTGCTTTCTGTATGGTAGGCCGTGGTGTTTTGAAAGCACGTGCGAAGTAGTCTCGCCTGCTCATACTAAAGCTAGATTTGGAAGTGCTGGCCTTGGTCAATGCTTTTACGATGAGCCCTACCGCAACAGGGCACTCTCGTCGCAACACATGTTCCTGGCACTGGTCCACTTATGCGTCTAGTACAGGGGCAACCTCAGGCCATCTTCAATACGAGTCTACACACGGGACAAGACACTTAAATACTTGGAACAGCGTTAGAGTAGTATAGGCCCAGCAACTGGGGTACATACCAATGCTGGAAACTTGGCCAAGTACCAGAAAGTTTTTAAAAGACAATTCTTCAAATCAATTTTATATTTTGTTTATTCAAGATGAAAGAAGTATAATTGAAGCAAGAAAATTCAGAATAAGAAACACTATGCAAAAATAAAATAGATGCAATAAAGCGGAGAAGAATAATAATAAATAAGGCGATTTTGAAAAGTGATTTTTATAACCTCATTTTTTAACCTGTACATAAATATCGCAAGGCATCAACAATCTTCGTTTCTCTGTATACAATGAACTAGGCCCTTAAAAGGTAGAATCGGTGGAATTAAATGAAATCTAAAGAGCCGTTGCACTGACCCTAAATGCATGTGGTCGAAACGGCTGTACGACCGAACAAGTATTCCAGCAAATGAAGAAAATATAAGTATTAGAAATATGAATGCCAAAGAGTGCATCGAGTTGTATAGGGAAGGCATAAAGATACTCACCCCAGTGAGATAATACAGAGGTAATCTGTATCATCTCGCAAGAGGGTGAAGCTTTGAAAATATCTTCTAAAAGTTTGTTGTACAAAATTTGTGAGAACAGATACGTCTATATCATTTTCGTGAAACATTAAGGATATAGGCAGCTACGCAAGCTTACACGGCTGTGAGAGGGAGATAATTTAAACCACCACAGCCCTTTAACACTTTCTCAAGACCGTGAACTGTAGTCTAAGTACACAATCAATTTGCCTATAACTTTTGCTAAAAGCACGAGTATGTTACTACCGCAGTAAAAGAGGCACCGTTGTATTGTTTATTAATTAGAAAAGTACGCTCTCAGTGAAAGAAGAGTGCACAAGGGCAAAGAAGTATATGAAGCGTCCTGCGCCACTTTGCAAATAGCTCACCTGAGGTGTCAGTATGCCATTAAGCTGGAAGTTTATCACTGGATCAGTCATGTCTGTGAAGACAAGGGTAACCTGAGTGAAAAAAAATATTCAGAGATATAACTTAACGCTACAGACTGAACAGATGAGAATACCCACTACCACACGAAAAACTAAACAAGAAACAGGAGGTTGCCTGGAGACTATTACAGACTCACACGTACCCAAACCCAGTGATCGTGCGCCTATGTTACCCAGACATTTATGCATCCGAAGACTGTAATGCGTGTGGAGCAATAGCGACACTGCAGTACACGCTGTGAGAGTGCACCGGAAGCGTGCAGCAGTCCCTCATGAACCGGGCAGACATGGCAGTCTCGAATCGCGAGGCACGATGGGAGGTGGCTCTGTTCGCCGCGACCTCACCGATCAACTGTGGGCAGTCCGGCACGCCCAGGAAACCGCCCGTGTCCAAGGACTCGAGGCCGTCAGCTAGCCTGGAAATGCTTGTAGACCCACCCCACTAAATACCACCGGACATGTCAATAAAGTTTTGACTCACTCACTGGCCAGTAAACAGTCCCTCGCCAACCCCGCGTCATTCTTGAAGGTTAGGAACGGTAAGTCAGTATCACTTATATGAATGGACAACTTTCATATCACTACAGATGATGCTACAGACACTTGAATACACTGGTGGCAAAGGTGAGAGTCAGAATCTTGGGAGCCACCAAAATTTAGCTACGTGAGGCAGTTTCCTGACTATTATATTAGTGTGTTACGCAAAATATCAACTCAGCTGCTTGCGTGCTTTTATTTTGCTGCCTCTAGAAGAAAATACTTTCAGACATATACGTATGGGGGGGGGGCGGAGGAAAAAAAACGCATACATCTTGGTGCGCTGTTTACACCTGTCTCTGACCGCACGGGGAAGAACAACCTGAAATAGGCCTCTTCCACTTCCTTAGCCCACTCTGGGATGGTGTCCTGAATTTCAGGCCTCGACCTGCGTGAAGCAGACCCCACTTCTCCCATGAAATTATACTTTTTCGGGAATATGAGAAGACAGTGCACAGGGCCCCCCAAAACTACTTGATTTAAATCTCCTATGAAAAAAAAAAGAACCAGAAGCTCACCAAATATTTACGTCTTGTGCAAGCAGTTCACATGTTTCTTTTTGCGACACGACATACGCACAGACTGCTATTGAACTCATTACTTACATCTCGTGGCATAGACCTATTCCTTGTTGGCACTGCAGCACTGATCGGTCCTTTAAGTTTGACTAAAGATTGCCCCTGCGGTGCAGCATAATAAAATACACTCTACCAGCTTGGTGAGTTTGTAGCTTTTTTTCACATTTGGTTAATGTACGTGTAAGACTTCTGAATGTGTAAATTCTTTCAAGTGAATGATTCTCTCATGCTGTCCCTATACAATTCTAGGTACTGGAGTAATATCCGCATTGGTGGGGAAGTCTCAATTCCTAGGTTGTAGTACAGCCGAAGTGGTGCCACAAGTATAAGCACTATGCAATTGCATCGACTAAATTTCAAGAATGACATGATCACTAGACAACAAAGGAGAAAATTACCTTGATTAGGTGCCATTCTTAAATACATGATGCTTGTTGTCGCTAGAAAGACATCTCATGTGCTCTTTACACGCCGCTTTACAACTCCTGCATTCCTTTACACAAGTACTCTTGCCCGACAGTGTGGAGATCATTAATTGCAATACATAGTATGTGAGAAATTGAGTGGAAATGCTTGTCATTGAAGCTGCTAACGCTGTCTTTGTAGCCGGATTGCATGCGCGGAATAGTTACTCACCACCAGTTACAATTTACGTAAGAGACTGAGGCTTTGAAAATAACTTCTCAAAGTTGGTGCTACACGAGTCGATAAAAGATACGTCTATGACATTTGCGTGGAATATTAGGAATATATCCAGCTTGCGCAAGAGCTCAAAATTAAGTTTTAGTGTTAATTAGTGTTCTATGTTGTTTGTGTTTGAATTCTTAGCATATGTACCTTTTTTTCCCTAAATTCAACTCGTGGTAGAGCATTGCGATTATATATAAAGTTAGAGTGCTGAACATTAAATAGGAGGAACTAAGACCTAAGCATCAAACTAAGAACTAAGCATCAAAGGAAGATTTTTTATTTGTAAGTTCGTCTATGTTCGATGTTTCGAAAATGCCACTTATAAAGAATGATTGATCAGGCTGAGACTACAAATTTACCTAGGCTATCCATTTCAGTTACAGTTTTGTAATTACCAGCAGTCACGGATCTATGAATATTTTGCGTAGGCTTCATACTTTCGGACAAAGAGGTACACAAACCTCCCAAAATTTTATTTTGTATAAAATTGCAATAAGGCCTTGCGAAATATTTTAGTTTTTAAAAAAATTCTGGGCTCTGGTCCTTTCAGATGTCATCATTGCTATGCTTTGCATTTTAAATTATCTAAGTGTACTACGCGGTAGAAAGCATGGACGGGAAAAACACAAGGACAAGCGCAGATCATGTATCACCAACTGCCCCAATCGCCCACTTTGATTTGCATTTTAAAATTCTTTATCGGATTCCTTTGCCATTGCAAACAGACAGAAAAAGGCGGAGTTTTGGACCATAAGCTAAAGAGCATTGACTTTCTGCGAATATCCGAAGGAAAGTCTCACGTTGAGATTCACCTACTTTTTCAGTCAATGTGTCGAAGAAAAAGCACCAACTGTATTTGAAACCATGAATACACGACCGCGATGAATGGTCTGAGAAATAGCAGCAAACTCTCAAATACAAATTTTCTGACTACAGGTCAGGCGTCATCTTTCTATGTCTTTTTCGGCCACTTGAACTCACTCTTGACATGAGGACATCCATTCCTATCTTGTTTTCCTGTAACACTGCGAGACACAAATCTGGAAGAGTTGGTCTTGTTTCGTAGATTTTTTTTCTCGAAATCTTCTGAACAGTATTATTATAATTTTCAACTCGATCATCTTGAAGAAATTACCATGGTTTTTAGCTAAAAAGTCCAGCGTCTTGGCACCATTTTCGTCAGTTCGAATGGTGACCGGATGAGTCAGTACAAGGATGCCCATTTGGGCGCATTGGTGACCATACATGTCTAAAAAAACAGCGTGTAATTGAAGAGAAGACAAAAAGTGTTATAAAGAGGTGAGAGGGCTAATGCTGTCCGATTACTCCTTATTTTGTCTTCGTTTCACCTATGTGTTGTTTCTTCACAGCATGTATGGACGGGCCCGGTGAAAAGTCACCTGTGACAACCTCCCAGCCCTCACGAAAACAATGTTGCCACACGAACGATATACGCATAAATTTAACTAACGCAACCTCGTAAACGCCAGTGTAGCGTCACGTGACTTGCACTCCGCGCGCCACTCTCTGCTTTAGTTCACTGACCACAGAGCGCTAAATGAAGCATAGCTCACGGAAACCTGTTTCACTCGTAGAGTTCGCTAAATAAAACAGAACTGAATGATATGGCCCGCAAACTCGGTACAAAAAGCTAAGCACAATAATGAGTTAGTGGCGCCAGCTGATAACTCGCAGTTCTGCCAGCCTTGGAATTTAGTAGACACACTGCGAAAGGTGAAGAGATTTTGCAGTGCCTATCACTATTGCGCGTGCCCCAGACGCTACCCTGTTAAACAAAGTCGTTAAGAAAACAGGGTCATCGTGTACAAAATCACGTCATCAATTTAAGATGAGGACATAATGGTAAAGCAAGTCTGATTTGGATTTTTACACGTAAAGAAATGTCCCTATACTGGTGTTTCGGCATTAGCCCTCCTGACTCCGTCCCGCAGACCCCGTGGCCTGGATTCAGAGCCACGTCCTGGAGCTTAGCAACACGACGCCTTATATAGCTACGCTAGCCCGCAAGACAGAAAGGGTGGTATCATGCTGCAGAACACTTTGTAATGCATTTATACCTACTTACCGCATTTAAAAACGTCCCTATATATGAGACGAGGTCCTTAGTTCCATTGAACGCACGTTGATATATGGGCCCTACAACCACACAGAGCTCGACGGTGAAATTATTTGGTAACTTGCTTTTATTTGTTGCTTCTGCAAAATAAGGCGGAAAGTTTAAAAGCCCTTCCGCTATTGGGGAAAGGAGACAATGAAAGTTCGGCGTGCACGTGACTTCCCTACCACTTTTCTTTCTTTTAGGGGCAAAGCTCCTTATAACGGCACCTCTCCATCCCTCGTAGTCGTAGAAGTAGTGTGCTTCCAGTCTTACATTTTGACCTCCAAGGTGGTGGCGGTGGGAGATTTCTTCTGTGCGTTGTTGAAGAATAAAAAGTTCGCAACGTGCGCGTTCACTAAAAGTCAAGTTCTCCTGTCTCTCATTCCCCCTTAGCAGCGATTGACATGTACATTGAGCACTATCTGACAAGAAAGGGTTGCTACGTTATACTCGCTGGGCGTAACCTCCTTGGTTTTAGAAAGGTTTAGCGAGCGTTGGGACGCAGTGCCATGAATACAGTGAACTAGTATATACCATGAACTCGAGGTGGTTAAAGGTGGGAAGTAGACACGAAGCGCAAGCCGTGAGAAAGTGTGTGTGTGCCTCCTCTCGTTCAGTCCTTGGAATGTCCACCGGATGGCAGTGCTTCTATGTGAGGAATATATGATGAAAAGATACGAGATGTTGGTACTTGGAGTGTTGAATATATATATATATATATATATATATATATATATATATATATATATATATATATATATATATATATATATATATATATGGGAAAAAGTGTATACTTAAGGGATCGTTTTTCGTGTTTAACACAATATTAATGAGATCCAACACACAACAATGCCAAGGAAGGTATAGGGGAAGTTGTTAGGCCAATTGTAATCTAAATGAGAAAAAAAAGAAAAGTGAGTGAAAAGATAACTTGCCGTGGGCAGGATCTGAACCTGCGACCTTCGACTAACGCGTTCGATGCTCTACCACTGAGCTACCACGACAGCTATCCCCCCCAGCCACTTTATTGGGTATCTATGTCAATTTAAACGTGGGAGTGTCAGTCAGCGCCACTAGTAGCCATGGCGGCGAGCGTGGCACACTCTTTATGAGCCTGTTTGGCGTCACGTAGCACGTGAACTTATTACTAACCGGCAGCTGACCAATAGTCCCCCGTATACAACCTAAAGGCACCAAGTCTGCCAGTACGAGAACGTCGTTATTGAATAAGGGAAACAAGTGTATACTTAAGCGGTCGTTTTTCGTGTTTTACACAATATTAATGAGATCTAACAGACAATAATGCCAAGGAAGGTATAGGGGAAGTTATTAGGCCAATTGTAATGTAAATGAGAACAAAGAAAAGTGGGTGAAAAGATAACTTGCCGTGGGCAGGATCTGAACCTGCGACCTTCGAATAACGCGCTCGATGCTCTACCACTGAGCTTGTATACGGGGGACTATTGGTCAGCTGCCAGTTAGTAATAAGTTCACGTGCTAGCTGACGCCAAACAGGCTCATAAAGAGTGTGCCACACTTGCCGCCATGGCTACTAGGGGCGGTGACTGACACTCCCACGTTTTAATTGGCATAGATACCCAATAAAGTGGCTGAGGGGACAGCTGTCGTGGTAGCTCAGTGGTGGAGCATCAAACGCGTTATATATATTGCCACGTTCCATTTCACAAGTTTTTGTTATCGTTCCGAAACACCACACGATTCTCGGCGCAAACCACGCCTGCAGTTTTCGAGAAGGTTCCGGACTGTAGTAGATCATTTCGATAAGATCACGCCCACTGTGCGAACGGTACAGATTGTTCTGGAACCTACGCCACCGCCAGCGATAACGCTAGAACATTCGACGACAAGGGTATAAATGCCGACGCGCTTCGCCGCTTGTCAGTTGTTGATCGAAGGCCGACGCTGCGTTCGCCGCTATCAGTCCGAGACTGCTATTTGTGCAAGACTGCTGCTGTAATTAGACTTTCTCTTTACCGGGAACAGGTTCGCCCAAATGAACAGTTCAATCCCAACACGAAGTCTCCTGTCTTCGGCCACGTCACGACCCCGTGACATCTGGTGGAGGTGCTGCTTCGTTCATGTACCGGACGCCCCCGTCAAGCCGTGAACCCAGCCCCCTTCGCTGAGAAGACACCGACGCCAACCAAGAGCAGCGAACGAGCCGCCGACAGCAAGGTCTCCCACCGGAGTACGGCCTGCTACAAGACAAGGCGCGGAAGACCAAGACCATGACCTCGACTGCAGCGACAATGACAACCGGAGCGTCCCAGCCCGCGATCGTCATTAATCAACCCAGGGAACCACCAACGTTCCATGGCTCATCGTTTGAAGACCCGGAAACCTGGCTAGAAACATACGACCGTGTGGCCGCCCTCAACCACTGGGACAACGAAGAAAAGCTCCGTCGTGTGTACTTCTACCTGGAAGACACCGCAAGGACCTGGCTAGAGAATCGGGAGTCCACGCTCCGAACGTGGGATGTCTTCTGCGGCGCTCTTCTTCAAACGTTCGCAAGCTTCGCTCGCAAAGAGAGGGCCGCTGCTCTACTCGAGACCCGGGTTCAGCTACCAAATGAAAAGGTTGGAATTTTCACAGAGGAGATGACCCGCCTATTCCGTCACGCTGACCCAGACATGCCCGAGGAAAAGAAAGTTCGTTTCCTCATGCGAGGGGTCAAACAGGAGCTCTTCGCGGGACTAATGAGGAATCCACCGAACACCGTCCAAGAATTTGTATCCAAGGCGACCACCATCGAAAAAACGCTGGACATGCGCACCAGACAGTATAATCGTCGCCTGACTCCAGAATGCGCTGCTGCTCAAGCCAGTGACTCCGACCACCTGCGTGAAACGATCCGAGCGATCGTGCGGGAAGAGCTGCGCAAACGTTGCCTTCGGCGCAGCCTCAAGTGGATTCGATCGCCGACATTGTGCGAGAAGAAGTCCGGCAATCGCTTTGAATTCCCGAAACACCGCCGCCCGAGCCAAAAACTATGAGCTACGCCGCTGCAGTGCGCCACAACGCTCCTCCCCGTCCACGCCAAAACGCCGCCCCGTCACACTTACGTCGCCAGACGCCACCGCCGCCACCACCCCAACCGACGTCCTACCGTTCCCCAGCGGGCCAGCACAGTGCACCGAGGAAAACGGACGTTAGGCGTGCACCTGACAACCGCCCGCTCTGCTACCACTGCGGCGAGGCCGGGCACACATACCGCCGTTGCCAGTACCGACAGATGGGACTGCGTGGCTTCGCCGTCAATACACCGCGTCCGCAGCCAGGAGATCGGCCACGTGACATCGCCGACTACCTGGCAGGAACTCAATGGACACCACGAAGTCCTTCCCATTCGCCGTCGCCCAGCCGCCGCATGTCACCGCACCCCCGGCAGTACTCTGGCCCAACGCGGGGCCGGTCTCCTAGCCCGTATCCGGGAAACTAAGGGCAGCAACCGATGGAGGTGCGGTTGCTGTGCGACGAACTATTGAAGATCCTCCGACGACGACGCCAACGCGACGGAGCTTTTTGAACACAACCCCAACCAGGCAAAGCCCTGAAGGCAAAAGCTCCCTTACCGAAGGTGGCCGGACGACGCAACATGGAAGCAGCGGAACAAGCCGACGCAGCCGTGACCCGACGCCACGCCCTAACTGTAATGCGAGACGGCGAACTAGCGACCTCGACGTTCTTATCGACGGCCACAGTGTGACTGCTCTCGTCGATACTGGAGCCGACTATTCTGTCATCAGTGTTCGCCGCGAAGTTAAAGAAAGTTAGGACAGCTTGGAAAGGCCCTGAAATCCGCACAGCCGGAGGTCATCTCGTAACGCCTGCAGGAATCTGCACAGCGAGAGTCACCATTAACGGCCGTATTTATCCTACAGACTTCGTAGTCCTACAGCGTTGCTCGAGAGATGTCATCCTTGGCATGGACTTCTTATGCCTCCATGGTGCTGTCATCAACCTAAAAACAAGGTCGATAACGTTATCCACAGAAGAAGCACTACCGCCGAGCACGCCGTCAGGACACCATGCCTTGAATGTGCTGGAAGAACAAGTCACCATTCCGCCTCGCTCAAGCGTCATTATTTCAGTCGGCGCTCCTAAATCACCTGACTTTGAAGGCGTCGTTGAAGGCAGTCAGCATCTGTTGGTCGCCCGAAATATTTGCGTCGCAAGAGGAATTGCAGAGCTGCGGGGAGGCAAAGCAACGGTTATGCTCACGAATTTCAGCAATGAGTACAAGCATGTGAACAAAGGAAGAACGGTCGCATACATCGAAGAAATTGTCGAAGCCACCAGTGCTTTCACCCTCGCCGATTCTGCGGAACCTGCTCAGAGGAACCAAGCCCCTCCCAGAGCTTTCGACGTCAATCCCAGACTTCCGAACGATAAGCAAGAACAGCTCAAGGCCCTACTTCCTGCAATACGAAGATTGCTTTTCGTCGTCATCGAAAATTCGGCAGACCCCAATCACGAAACATCGAACCATAACCGAAGAAAATGCCAGACCACTCCGTCAGAGTCCGTACAGGGTTTCGACGCGAGAACGTGAGGCCATGAAGAGACAAGTTGATGAAATGATGCGGGATGACATTATCCAGCCGTCCAAGAGTCCATGGGCATCCCCCGTGGTGTTAGTGAAGAAAAAGGATGGGACCCTACGTTTCTGCGTCGATTATCGCCGCCTGAACAAAATCACAAGGAAGGACGTGTATCCTCTCCCACGAATAGACGACGCCCTTGATCGGCTCCATAACGCCAAGTACTTCTCATCAATGGACCTCAAGACTGGCTATTGGCAAATCGAAGTCGACGAAAGAGACCGAGAGAAGACGGCGTTTATAACACCGGACGGCCTCTTCGAGTTTAAGGTGATGCCCTTCGGCCTTTGCTCAGCGCCTGCAACTTTTCAACGCGTTATGGATACAGTACTGGCAGGATTGAAGTGGCAGTCTTGCCTTGTGTACTTGGACGACGTCGTCGTGTTTTCCTCAAGTTTCGACGAGCATCTTCGGCGCCTTGAAGCTGTACTTCAAGCCATCAAGACGTCCGGACTCACACTGAAGCCAGA